AGATCCATGCAGGGCTCCTCACATAACAACCATGCTCCCTCTTCTCTGTTTTCCCACGAACCGTAACTGAACCATGGCTTCCCGGGGACTCCACTGCAGCCTCAAACAGCAATCGATGCATAGCCCTCAAGATTAAATAACAAACAAACACTGGGTTTTGAATACATAGGCCTACCGTTAACACGGCCGTACGAACCGACCAAGAACCGAGCTCCAAGCCGAGCAGGTCCCACGTAGGAGACAGACAGGAAATAAACAAACAAGCCGAGTTTAATAGAATTGTACCTGAAACCCTGAGGACTCTGTCTCCCACAGACACACAAACAGAGCATGTTAATACTGCCACAGGGTAGCCAGAACTAATAGTGGAGACATTAAGAAAATGATCCTCAGGCAGATATGTTTTCCAGAGATGGCGACTAAACAGAATTGCCATATTTATCATACTCATGAAAACAGAGAGAGGGAGACCTTTATGTGCACTCATGTCCCTGTCTGTTGTCCTCAAATGAAGGACGAGAGGCCCCCCAGGACAGAGCACAAGTTGTTGCTGTTTTTGTACTCTTCCTATATTCATTCCCTCTGAACCTTTTAACGATTCGTCAGATTACAGAAACACACTACATGCATGACACTCATATTTCTAAGCTTTAGTCCTAACTGTGAAGTTTAAGCAAAACGATAAAGTTTTCTAATATAACTTGTTTTTATTTTAACTGAAACACCTGCAGATTATTCTCTTCTATTCTACCAGTGTAAGTCTACCTCAGTGATCTGCATCCTATGGAGCCACCGGTAAGGGAGACTTTAAATCTCTTTGGCTAAAAGCGAACACACTAATGTTTACTTGAGGTGCTGCCAGATTCAGCACTGCAGCTCATCAGGAACTGTGAATGTAAATACAGTAGAAAACATTAAGCATTCAACAATGACGCTTTCCTTTAGACAATAACATACTCTGTAAACATTACATTCTATGATGCTTTACGTTCTTCCTCACATCATTCATCATCTTCGTCATCCCTGCATGGCCCCACCCCTCCCTCCCGGCCTTTTCCGGCTCTCCAATTAAGCCCCGGCGGCAGGTTTCCATCAGCTGTCTGGTCGTCTGCAGCAGGACTCCTCAGAGCAGAGGCCTGTCAGGAAATGAACTCATCACTGGATGACAGCTGCTAATTTCTCCCTCTTCCATGTCACACGAGTGGCCTGCTGGAGTTAATAATGAGCCCATCCAGCCCTGATTACACAGATACATGAGGGGGGGTGAAATGCACTCGATACAGTACACAATACCTCAGACAAGATATGCAGAATTATGTACAAGCACAGGCCCAGACTGACGTTACAGTAGGAGAAAAAGCAAGGATTGTTATGTGCAAACTATGTTGGTGCAAATATATATTTATATACCAAACATAAGACAACATATTAATCATTATAAACTTTCCATAAAGCTTTGGAAACATATTACACATTTATTTGCATCGCAATGGAATCATCATTACATTTCATAATAAATCTTATGGATTTTTCCAATAACTTTACTTTGTCGCTTAAACCCCCTAAATAAAATCCAATGCCACTAATTGCCTTCAGATTAAAAGTAGTGGGTTCATAGTCCCTAGCTTACATAGCCTATACCAGCATGCTCAGGTCACATGAGACTCAGTTTTTAATTTCTTTTTTGTATGTAATGTGCTTTGGTCAGATAAGACCACAGTGAATGCTATGAGTGGCAGTAAGCATCTCGTATTCCTATGGTAAAACACGGAGGTGGAAGCATTATGCAACATTTGTGTTTTGCAACAATTGGATGTTTACCCGCATGTTATGTAAAACAGCTCAGTAGGGCTTAAACAATTAATCGGATTAATCTTGATCAATCGATTATTGCAATTATAGTCAATTAATTTAGTAATCGATTAACTGTTAACTGGAGTGTAGAGACTCTAAAACATGCCTTTAGCTGACAGAGCAACCCACTTAGAGTAGTAATTATACCAAAATTGTAAAGAAAAAGAAATATGTTAACATTTTGCATTGAAGATAAAAAACTTATCTATCCATAACTCGTAAAGTGGAAAAAAGTTTTAGTTTCACCTGGTTTAATTTATCAAAAAAAGTCTTTAAGGAAATTTTGGCTATCAAATTGTTAATCAATTTCATTATAAAAATATTCCCAGATTAATCAATTTGAAAAATAATCATTAGTTGCAGCTAGGGCTGCAACAACGAATCGATAAAATCGATAAAAATCGACTTTTAAAAGCGTTGGCAACGAATTTAATCATCGATTAGTTGTGTCGCGCGATTAATGCGTCATCCGCCGCCGCCGTCATCCCAGGGAAGAAAAAAAAATATGGCGGAGCGAGTCAGCGCCGCAGTTGTGTTGCCAACTCAGCGACTTTTCAGACCCCTCCAGCGACTATTTTTTAAAAAAGCGACTAGCGACAAATCTGGCGACTTTTTACGGTGTCACTGGCGGCTTTTGGAGACTCTTACGTGAAAGCATATATCGTTCCTACTCTTGTCCTCCAGCGGCAGCTGCTGCTGTGGGGCACCTCCCCCATCCCAACCCCGTTCTCCCTCTCCCACAGGAATCCCTCTCAGCGCTGCAGTCCGAGCCGCGGGATTTTAGTGAGGAGTTTACCCTCAGCGTCCAGACTGCAAATGAAGCGCGCATGCCCCGGGATTGACGGCGCAAATTGATCACAATAATTAAAACAGCCTGCGCTTTGTAAAGTGAAAAAAGTCGTAACATGCAACTTTTGTAAAAAACAAATGAGCATGGCACGGAAGCACCACTGTTATGACGCAGCACCTGAAAAGAAAACACGTTGGAGCCTTCAATGGCAGTGAAGAGAGCTGATCAGCAGGATGAGTAACCATGTTTGTTTGGTTTTAAAGTGGGGAAACGTAAGTTAGTTTCTCAGGTAGCTCATCTGATGCTTTCCTTAGCTTGTTAGTAGGTTACAGACAGTGATAAGGTTGGCTTCTTATTTTACTTTTAATTTCATTTGAATTAGCTTAAGCAGCGTTTATATTTTCTTTATAAATAAATTAATTTGCAAATTATGAGGGCAAGGCTTTTAAAGTTTAAATCTTCTGGCAAAGAAAGTAAAGAAGATCCTGCAATTTATGGAAGTAAAGCAGAATAAAATCCAGCAAGATCAGTAATATGTCAAATAATTATCTGCCACATTCCCATGTAAATATCTGTCTTTGGAGGATGTGTTTTTTAGCACCCCTAGTTCTCTCATTTTTATTCCAAATACAATTTATAATTTGAATCACAGGGCTATTTTTATTTCTATGGTTCAGTATTTTCTCAAGTAGCATCTTTAACTGCTATACTTTCCTGTCTTAAAAGGCAGAACTCTATTAGTCTAAAAAAAACCTAATTTGTTGAAATGGGGGGGCCTATTGTTTGAACCCCTTAGGGGCTTTAAAAAACAAAAATGTCTCTTTTTGCGCTTTATGAAACAAAGTACCCTATATTTTGTGGATGTACAGCTACATTTCTCATGTAAGTTTGCATAGTTTTAACACAAACATTTATTTTTCATATTGCACCAGTACAGTTAATGAGCAACCTGTACTTGTGTGCTTGTTTGTTCTGTCTAAAATGTTTATTTTGGAATAAAGAGGTTAATATAAAAAAAATATTTTGTGTCCGATTCATCGATTAATCGAAAAAATAATCGTCCGATTCATCGATTTTCAAAATAATCGTTAGTTGCAGCCTTACAGCTTCAAACCAGGACTAACTGACCTCCATCATCAAACAAAGCTGTTTCTCTTTTCACACATCCATCCTTAGGGAGTCATTATTTTATCCTCAGGGATAAAGGTTGCTGTTCTCACAGACTGCATGTGATGCTGACATAGAAGAGGTAACTTCTGTCAAATGTCTGATTTTGGTGGAATGAAGGGAAGAAACCTGTATTAAGCTTAAATCACAGGTTCCTCTCTTTGTGTGGCTCTGATTTCTAACCATAACACTGAATCCTCCTCCCCACTTTCTTGTGCAGCCGCCGCCGTGCTTGTGTGATTAAAGGGATGATCTTTTGATCAGTGCTTACCCAGCCCCCCCCCCTTCACTTTAAGCAACCGACCGCTGTCTGTCTCCCACTCTAACCATTAGAAACCAGGCCTGAGTTGGGGCCTAAATGAATATCGATTCTCCCTCCAGTGCTGAATGCTGTAGATGAATAAAAGGAAAGAGTGTGTCGGACAAGTTGAAGACAATGGTGCCGATTGGTGTGGTGAGAGCACGACGATGTGGATGATGGCGATCATGAAGATGATAATGATGATGGTGAAGGTAATGACCGTGTTGGTGATCGGAAGGCATGATGGGAGCCATCACTCAGTGTGTGTATGTGCATATATTGCTGATACTGTAATGTATTTTATGGGATAGATCAACACAAAGCAGTGCATCATTATAAATGGCAAGGATGTGTTTTTTTTAATCTTTACACTTTAATGGTTTGCATTGGATTTGATTTAAGAATATTTGTAACAAAAAAAAACCTGAATGTTGCACACTGTACTGTATATTTTATTTAGGTAAAAATCTAAAAACAGGAAAACTTTTCCTTCAATTTTATTATTAAATAATAATTTGCGTTTGTCAAAGAAGCAACAGTTTAATACCTGAAGGTTTGTGTTTAAAATGAGAAAAAATGTAAAAAAAACAAACAAATAATTAAACAACAAAAGTAGAGAGGAAAACTGCTTCATGCTGCTGATAAAAGAGTAACACTAATCTGTAACTGCATGATAGACATTAAGAATTCAGTGGTTGAAAAATTAGACAATCTTTATTTTAAGAACTGATATTGATCCAAAGATTTTCTAAGAGTAAAACATGAAAGATTGAAAGCACATTAAGAACTCAACACTGCTAAATTTATACAGAAACAAAACAACAATTCTGAAAGGTCATGAAAGGTCAGACCTGAGAAAAAAAGCCAAATATTTGTTCTCGTAAGTATCGTCATGCTGCCAATAACCCAAACTCATAGATCACTGTAGCTGCACCACAAAGCTGAAGCTAAACATATTATTTGCTTTATGCAGACGTTCCAAAAGGTGGAGTTGCATGGAAATAAGTCTGCTGTCCATATAAATGATGGCGACGCCACAAGTAGCACCAAAAACTGCGTCCTGAAATAAATTACCTTTAACCTGTCTGTTGCATAGCTCCAAAGAAGATCCGACAAAGTAATGTTGTAATGTTCGCACTGTGAAGACACTGATCTCTCACAGAAAGGCTTCAGCCTTCCAGGACCATGCTATGAGAGGATCCATCCAGGTAGACCACCATCTCCTCTCCTGCTTGTTGCTCCACCTGCTGCTCCTCCCCGTCCGCTGCGTCGGTCGCCCCGTACACCCCTCCCTCTACCTGCAGGGTGCAGTCGTCCAGTTCGGTCACGATGTAATGGGTTCCCTCGTCGTTGACGATGACCTGGGTGAGGCCTTCCTTCATCATCTGGGAGGCGGCCAGCTTTATCACCTCCTGCATGTTTTCGTGGCCTGACTCCTGGATGACATGCACCTCCTCTTGCTCCTGCTTCACCTCCATAGTGGTGTGGGCTTCCTCAGAATCACTGGGGGGGAGCACCTCTTGAACGACAGCAGGCTCTCCTTGTATTCTCTCCTGATGGCCCATTTCGCTGACGGCGCTGAGCAGAGCATCCAGAGCGGTGGATGACTCGGAAACGCTGTGACTCTGACCCTCATCGGCCTGCAGTTCCTGCCTGGCGTCCCCGGACTCCACCACCACATACTGGGTGGCGCCTCCAGCTAAATGAGCTCCTGTCGATGCCACCTCTCTGCCTGAGGCTATGACTTGTCCATCCTCTGTGATGTGCAGCACCTCGGCCACCTGGCCGGCCATGGCCAGCGTCTGCAGGGTGGCGGCGGCCGACTCCTCCAGGGCCTGGTCGATGGTTACGTCCTCGTCCCCGTAACCCTGGATGATGATGACCTGCTGGATGGCTTCCTCTTGGCTGGATGCCTCGGGCGAGCCTTTCCTGTGCTCTGGGGAGTCCACAGCCTCTGCCTCCACGAATGTTGCTCCTTGGCCTTTCAGACGACATTCAAAGGATTTGGACACAATCCCTAAAAATAGAAAAAAAAAAAAGAGTTATATTTTTGAAGAGTTATTTAATAAAAATGCAGAACTATATAATCCAAAATCAAAAATGATATAAAACTAGAAGTTGCATGGATTCATTTGGAATCGGAACAGAAGTGGAAAAGAAACCAACAACATTATGAGGATATTTATTAGAGAGACACAGAGAAACCGACTGGTGATCAGAATTTCTGAGCAGAAATTGAATGTTTAGTTTGATCTGTGAGAGGTTTGCTTTTGAAGTTGCTGGGGGAACAGCACTCAAGGTTTTCAGTATCAGTGCAGCATAAAAGCATTCAGAAGTAAAGAGATGAAAAGCTGTTTAAAGGGAAAAAATCATCCCAACATGTCTGTGGTTAATAAAAAGAGTGAGAGAGAGCACAATTTCTGGAGGAAACAGGAAGGCTGACTACCGGAGGGTCACCAAGGACAAAATAACAGAGATTTTTGCATTAGAGAGGCACTAAATCCAAGAGCTAACAGGGTTAAGTTAGGGCGACTTAGTGAATAAATGCACACTTTCTGTATCTGTACAGTTTTTCAAAGTAAATTCATAAAAAAAGAGAGCAAGACTTTTGGTAGATATAAGGAAGGCTACACAGTGTTAACACAAGGTTAGTATATTTTAACCTTTTATGCTTTCAACCATTGCCTGTTGTGTTGGAAGTCTGAGTTAAGGTTCGCCTCTACATCCTCTAGAACACACCAGCAGGTTGGAAAGAGCTAGCAATGCTAATATGCTAGACATGTTATTATATATATTATATATATATATATTTGTGAAAGACAGCTAAAAATGGTACCTCTGTAATTTTCAGATATTGTCTGGACATAGAATGCCGTTAAATAGTTTCTTCCACTTTTTATTTACTTTCTAATCCAATGCTTGTACTTAAAACAGCCATCTTTTCACATCTGCTGTCTCACCCACTGTGTAATGCCTCTTTTCTGCTCTTGACATAAATAATTCATCTCAGTAATCAATTCTTTATTACTCTTGAACAGAAATAAAAGTGACACCGGCAGGCCAAAGCTTCACAGAAAGTTGGAAATTGGTGCATTGTTAGTAAAATTGCAGGCAATAAAAACAGCACCTCCTAAAAGCCGCTACCAACTGTGCATGCATCCACCATCATGAGCAGGAAAACGGAGGGGGGGGGGGGGGGGGGGGGGGGGGGGGGGAATGATGGCAAGCTAAAGTGACATTAAAGGCGATGTAACACTTCACATATTTGTGTCACTTAGGGCCATGAAAGCAAAGAGAATACGGAGATATTCTGCTGCTGCTGGAGCATGGTGAGATACAGCTGCTGCTAATTGAGCCACACTGTGCCCTCTCACATCACAGGTTGCCATGGAGTTTCCAAGGTGATAGGAACAGTGTTAGAAATGCCATTGTTTAAATAGCGCCTGGCTCAGACACTTGTAGGCTAATCTATGCAGGAAAAAGGGGATTTGATTTGAGACATAAAAAAAATTAATAAATAAGAGGGAATCGACACGTTTCCATGTCAATAAGGCATCTTTTAGGGTTTCTCTGGTCTTTTTCCTCTAAAATCTTTATATTATAGCAAAAGTTGGTTGTTTTCTGGTTTTATTATTTGGTTTGTTTGATTGGGAGGAGTTGACATTTGGAGATATAAGGTTTCCACCTGAGGGCACCTATGGCTTCACACAAACAGAACAGTACATCCAGAACCAGACTCATCAATCACTGATGCGCCCGTCGTCCCCTGATATCTAGTGTCCTGAACTCACAAGGTTGAGGATGTGATTAGAAAGTCACCCCCTCAACCCAAAAATTTATTTTCATAGGTCACCTAAACATGAGACATTCTGACATCTCCTCTTTATTTCCAGTTTACTAATGCCGTTTCCTCTCTGGCATACAGCCTGATACACACTGGGGGGATATTTTTGGCTTTTAAGCAGAGTAAAGCATCTAACTAGGTAGCGTCCCGCTGCTTTAAGTAGACAGTGATGAACTTATTCTCTGTATAAAAAAGCACAGAGGACCTGGAGCCTCTTCAGGTACTCAGAGCTTAGGCCTCTCATTGAAGCTTATTTTTATATCACAGAGTGAAACAAAGGAGATGCTTGTTTTGAAGTAGAGGAATACTGATAATCCATGTTCAACATTTAATGAAGAAAGGCGCATAAGGCATACAGATATCATAGGACCCCTTAGGTTATTGCTTTGTGGAGCCACCTTTGCTGCAAATGCAGCTACATACAGTGCACACACACAAGGTAGGTTATAATCTGGCTAACATTTCTCATTTGCATTTAGGTCTTGAACTTTAAGTTTATTTCAACATATGCAGTCATTGAGCTCCTCATTCTGTATATCTAAATATGCAATGCAGCCTTCTGCTATTAGAAGACAATAGATTAGCAGATAAGGGGAAACTACATGTCTAATGGAAAGAAGATATTTACCAACTGATGTTTTTACATTTAGATTGACTAAATATGTGATATATGCACCTGGTTTAAGCATAAACAATGCTATGGTACTTTTCCTGATAATTGATCTGGTTATAATTAGCATCTTTACAGTATGTTTAGGTTCTCTGAACTTGGACCGTATCTTTTCCTACACTTTGTGATCTCGTCCTTCTTTCTATGAGTCTTAGCGCCCAAGAAGCTAAAGCTCAGGAAGAGCAAAGATATGGATGATGGAAAAGACAGACTTAGGTAGAAAATTTCAGTTAATTACCTTCTATGTACCAATCACAACATTTAACAATGATATTGCAATTTTGACTCTTTTCCTAATACTAAGTCCTGAGCTTTAGCACTAAATCCCTTGAGAGCCATTTAGTGAAAGCAGCTGTTACACTGGAAAAAACATCCAGATTTATAATAATAAATAATTTCCTAATAAAGTGCATTTACTGTACCCTTAATTTGAGTAGGTAAATCAGATAGTTTGCCAGTGGAATGAGTATTTTTACTCTTAAAGTAAGATAATTAGATAATATGCACTTGAAATAACACAATGCAAATGTGTTTTCTTATTTTAAGTGTAAATTGTCTTGTTCCATTGGCAAAATGTCTCTTTTACCTCCTCAATCCAAGAACAAATGCACTTATTTTAAGAAAAAAATAACATCTAGATTTTGATTTTTTCCAGTGTAACAGGTTTAATTAGCTACCAGGGATCTATCCATGTCTACTGGTTTAAATAAAACTTCCTGCCTATTTTGCAGCCTCGGTAAAGACGTCTAAAAATCCTGAAATCAAATTTCTCTATTTAAGCAGAAACACAGATTTTTCTTTAATTTAATTGTTATTTAATTTTATTCTGTGAGGAAAATAATCTCACTTGTTTTCATTGTTTATCTTATAAAAAAAAAAATACTGGTATTAGAATTGCAGCTCTCCCTAATTATCCATGTTAAATAATTGTAGACAGAGCATTTTTTTTCTCAATTTCTTCATTTAAGACTGTCCAGGTACTTATTTAATAATCCACAACTTTCTGCATTCCTTCGAAAATAAACTCTGACGTCTCTCTATGATTTCTCTAAGCCCCTTTTCAAAACAGGAAAGACAAAAAAAAAGAAAAAGCAATACCCTTCAAGTAAGGCTGACATGTGACTTCATTATTTAGAAATAACGGAAAAGGTTTTAAACAACTGGAAAAGTGACAAACAAGACTGCAGGAGTAGCCAGGTATATTTTGCCATCACACACAGTTCAGCAGATAATTAGAAAAGTAAAAAAAATGATGCTACTGTAATAATAACTGAATTTATTTAAGGGTTTTGTGATTTTTTTTAGTTTGCTGCTGTTTCTGTCTTCATCTCTTTTTGCATAATAGAAAGGTAATCTTAATTTGATTATGGGTTAATCCCTCCCTCCAAAGAAATCCTGAGTGGAAGGTTGCTGCACTCTGGCAGCATTGTGTGGTAAATATCAAATCAGACCCCTCCATTTGCACCTCTAGTGACAGGCCGTGTAGTTAGACAGAGGAGGCAGTCAGCACTGTCACAGAGAGCCAGCACAGGTTGGCATTTTGAGAAGCGGAGGTTACTTATTTACACAGAGCTACGGGGCCAATGCTAACTGCCTATGCCCAAATGCTTGGAGCTGAGAGGTCGGCTGCTGGGGGACAATAACTCTAGAACTGTGCAGGCTTTTACTGCATTACCATAAAAGCTGTTTGAAAGCGTGCAAATCTAGGAGAGCATTGCCATTTCAGGCTGTTAGACTATCGGATTTCTGGAGATCTTCAGCTTTAAAGGCTGCGACTGAATTTACAGGTATGTGTGTTTTGGGATGTGGGAGGAGAGAGAGCAGCCTTTATTGTTCTGTGTTTCAACAACTCTATGCGCCTGCTTATGCAAGTGTTTCAGAGTGTGTGAGCTGCTCCGATGTGGGGATGCTGAGGCTAGTGTGTGTCACATTAGCCATGGGGCGCTGTCGGTGGGGCCCGGCGGCGGCCCGCTGAGGTTTATGGAGTGTCACTCAGTCGCCGCAGCCGTGAATCAAGTTAATGTTGCAGATCCCATCTCTTCAGTTGTCCTGCGCTCCCGGTGGAAAAACAACATTTGAACAGCGTGATTTGGTCCTGGCGAGAGGCTGATGCCTGTTTAATATGTGTTTTGAGTGCTCTGACTGACTGATTCCTTTAACAGGAAGTCGGAGGGGGAATGAGATCGACACAGAGAGACAGGCTGCTTTATTGCCTGTGATCTGAAACAAGATGGAGGCTCCCTGAGAGGAATAAAACAACAGGAGGAAGACAGAGGCTGGAAGTGCTGCTGTTTGGATTACAAGATGATGGGAGGGTGTTTAGAGAACATCAATGCTGCAAAGGCGTCCATCCGTCTGTCCATCATAGTTATAACACCACCATGTTAATGCCACTACCGTGCCTAACAACTTATAGAGGGTTCCTCCAAACCAGTTTTCATGGTCGCCAAAATGTTTTATCGCTTTCTAGAGAGGATAATTAGCGTTAAATTGCGTTTCTGAG